AACCGAGATTGAAGGCTGAATTTCAGTTTGTACTGTCACCGATCGTGTACTGAAATAAAAAGCACTTTTTCAGAGTGTAGCCCAATTTCAGAAAAATATTGGTTTGACTGTTTGTTTAAATCATATGTGCATAATTCATAAATCAAACACATCTAAGCAGAGATGAGATTTTAGAGCCAAATTTTAGTCCGCGATCAACGTTTTATGGGTTTTCTAAAGCGGACACCTAAAACGGCTTGATTCTGTCAAAATCTTATTTATCAACCGACAATGCATGCAGCGAAACCGACCAGTGAAAAATTGGGCAGCTGAATTCCAGAACCTAAAGCGACTTGACTGAGTCGGCCAAAATTTAGTTTACCTGCAGACCTTCACATCACAACCAAAATACTAAAGTCAAATTCAAAGAATCATGTATATAGAATTATATAATTAGTTTTTCAAATCACAAAATTTTGCGCAATACGTTTGTTGCTTCTTCTTCATTTGGTGTTAAGCATAAAACATTCCTGCCTTCCTTCATGGCTGCAGCAGCTCCAGCAACTGAAACAGTCATAAAAATAGATCAATTTAGTTGGAATGTTATACTGGATAACATTTAATTATGTTTTTTACGGGAAACTACTTTAAAATATACTGCGCGAATAGGTGAATAAACTGAAGGAAGAAAGCTAGTGATCCAATGATAGTGTAAAGTTGCATAGTGGGACACAGCTAATCAACCTTATCATTTTAGCTCCCATATTGAAAGGTTTCAATTTTGTATTAACAAGAAAGTTTCTCGAAATTTTTGTCAACTTGATGAAAAGCCTAATTAACATTTAAATAAGACAAAAGAAATTGTTTAAATAAAGTTCAAAGCGCTGAGATAGTTGAATTAACCACTACGAACAGAAATGACCTTCACCACTGACTAGATGATTGACTATGTCCTTTGAATCCGCCACCCATCAGAACAGTAAAGTGAAACTTCACAGTAAAAGCGGTTAAGTTAAATTATTTTTTGTATTCAACGATTAACAACACGATTGCACCTGTTGTTTCCAGATAATTCATTGTAACTAGTCGGCAGCAACAATGTGAACAGTGCATAAAAAAATTATTAGTATTTCATCGTGTGGTTGGCATACCTTGTGGCGTATTCACGTCAAGAATCCAATCGCCTGGTCTACTGTTCAACTACAGAATGCCACACCCAACTCCTTGTGCTCTTGACTTACAATAATAAAATTCTCAGTGAGGCAGTGAAATTAAAATGATCTTGCAGCAGCCGTTGCCCAGCGCCGCATGGTAGAGGAGAAACCCCTCTACAGCCCGTACCATACCAAGGCTAGGACCTGTAAAATGCAGGAACAATGCGTAAGTTAATTTTGTTGTATGCATTGCAAAATACGGTTACAGTTTACAGTAGGTATGCTTTTATGCGTGTAAATTTGACGTATTTTCGAGTGTACGTGAATTTGAACTTCTAATTTTACAGTTGAATGGCAGAAATAACAAACGCAGACAAGTTTAACTAAATTTTTACAAAAATAAAATATAAAAACATTGCATCGCAAGAACCTCTAGAAAATACCAGGATGCTGTTTTAACAAAAAATCTATGGTGAGCAGAAACCCAAAAGGTGGATTAAACAAAGTGATTAAGGACCTTACGATTGACAATTACACCAGACATGCGGCTAGCTGCAATCGACAAACTATTGAAGATAGTATTTTGGGGCCAATTATTAGATGATAGAGCTTCGGCAGTTTGCGAATTAAAATTGAGGCATAAATTCTCTACGACAGACACGGTTATCCTTTGCCGTAAACGTGAACATTAAAATCTTACTATTTTAAACATGAATACATTGCCCGTTAATATGCTAATATATACCTGATGGTTTAACTCCTTTAGCACATGCGAAACCAAGTTCGCAGATTCCACGGTGTTCCTCGATCCATTTTTTATTTCCATTAATTGATGGATATCCCCCATTATTGCTACGTTGAAAATGTGGCACACACCAAAATTTAAACGGTCCACTAGGTCCAGCAAACCTGCAGCAAATGTTGTCACATCATTTTCATAAAAAAATCATTGTGAAAAAGAAAGTATTGTTCAGTATACACCTTTTTCACAATTATCACAGTTGTACATATACAGTACTATTGGTGCATTAGGTCAATGTTACATCACTATACTGTACCTGATGTGGTGAAAGCTTACATAAGGCTAATGAAAATCCTTTTTCTTGCCCGTATGACCCCTTGCTGCAGTCCCAGTGGGTCAACACACATGTGGACAACGCCCCTTGTTCCCTGGTCCATCAGAAATACATTGGGTGATACAACTAGTGGCTGGTCTGATTCCTCGATGGTCAGACTCTTTTGCAGATATTCCAAGTATTGTCTGAAAATAAGGTTGGTTTCATCTTTTCCCTAGTAAATAGAAACACAGCTCTACTGAATGTGCGAAACACAGGAAAATGTTTGCAGACTAAAATGGTCATCAAATAGGTAGCAGAATTGAAAATTGAAATCTCCCAAGGAACATGTAGCAGGGCAGCTACTAGTAGTTTGAAATGTTTCTAGTAGTTTGAATTATTAATTTAGAAGTCAGTTCAAATACTCAACCTCAGCATAGAGAGAAGAGCGGATATTTTCCATTCTACAAACCTGGATCAAAATATCGAACTGCCTGATATAATACATATACTGTATACTTACTGTAAATTTCCTTAACTGGTCAACGCTGACTTTCTCTCCCAATTTTGCACTAAGCAATTCCCATTTACATCCAAGAAATGAAGAAATCACTTTTTGGACAGGCTTCAGTACTTTGCACTCCTTGCACACTAATTTCAGTTCATCCAGACTGTTACTTTGGTCAGCAACCTAAAAAAAACAACAGATTTAGAATGATGATTGGATTTAATTTAAAGGGCACAATTATATTTTAATAAACTAAGTGGTTAATTAGTAAATAAAATTTTTAACGGATCACAGAGGCAAAAAATAAGCTAAGGGGCATCTTACGCCTAAAAATGGAAGAAATATCTTTACTTGACCCAACAGAGCAACACGATCTGAAACGTCGAGGCCAAATAAGCATTTGATGTATGATGGCTTGAACCTCGGCTTTTCTGTAGGTCCTTTGCCATTGCTCGCTGGTATTTCAGAAGACCTTTTTCATATTTTCGGCACATCTCAAGGAATGACTGATAACCATCTTCTGGGAGAGCAGCAACAAGAAATACATCAGAAAGATTTTTCTTCTAAAAAAAGTACAACATTTAACAAGAATATTAATTACTCAGTGTAAGTGCTTTATTGATCAGCAAGTTAATTTAAAATTATTTCATTAAACAGGTTTAGGTTTAGTACAGATTATAATTACATCTGCTTTCTTTTGATAACCCATTCACTGGTGGCAAGACTTTCACTGGCAAGCAAAATCACCTGGTGTTCACAATATATTACAAATTGAATAAACTAAAAAGTTTACTCACTGTCTTTCCTAATATGTGGGAACATCTGTCTCTCCATTGCTGACTAGGAACTAAATCATTGTTCTATTTTTTTGTACCAATGATCTCCAACTGCCTGTGAGCAACTTCCACCTACAGCAGAATAAAAAAATGTTTGTGATCACAGCTTTTTTAACCCACTGACTGGTAAATCACCCAAATGATTGCTGCTGCAATTAATAATTTGTTAGTTTCTACTGCAATTGCCTGTGGCAGATTACTAATTATTACGTAAGTAACTCAGACCACTATAACCAATAATTTACCATTGACAATTTTGGTATGTACTTGAGAAAAATTTCTGGTATTTGACAAAGCAAAGTTGAAAAAGTTAAGAAGTTGGGTACTCATTACTACTGTGACACTAATGGGTTCCTTAAGTAACTTGTTGACTGACTGTTAAACTATAACAAACAACCACTCCCTTAATATTTAACAATATTAGAATTGCCTTTCTACAGAACTTGCCTCATCTTTGAATGTCATTTAATGACGGAAACACCCAGTCTTATATGCCTTGACGCCAGCCATAAAGCTTAAAAATTTGTTAACCCAACAAATATTCTTGCATATCTTCCCTTATACTCTTCACTATCAGGGTGCTTCTCTAAAAGTTGCTTTGTTGCCAACAAGTTATGCGTACCACCAAGTACCTCATACTGATAGCTGCTGACATCTGATTTTGAAAAGTTCTCCTTTCTGTTCAGACCTTTTACCAACAAGTAAAGAGGTTCATATGAGCCATTGGGGTTACTTTCCATATTTGCCTTTAATTGGGCCAAAAATATTTCATCCACTTTCCTGATCATTCTGTCTGCTGGAGGTAGTTCAATATTGCCAACCGGAACATAGAATTGCTCATCTATTCAAAGTTATGAAAAGACATGCATGATATTACTGCCAAATGAAGGTGCACTTATACAACTTGAGTAAGCTAGAATGGTAAAAAGGAAACCATTGGGCAAAAAAAGCTGGTCATATTGAAAGAAGTAATTGTGTAGCAGGGATTTTAATTAAGAAAATGACTTGATAATTAAGCCTTAATTTAAACTTGATAATTTCTGTAAAAAATTAACAACATTCATTGTGGTTTAGTGGTTCAACAAAAAATATCATATGTATATATTTAATTTCTACATACCAACTTCGCATTCTTTTGCTCTTGTTTGGTATTGTAATTCTTTGGCCTCTTCATCTTGACACTTTTTCTTGGTTAGGGGTACTCAGCTGTTCCACAAGAGATGAAGATCCCTTTTTAAATTTATAGCTTAATCTTCATTAGTGATTAAAACAGGCTCGGAATCCTTGGATCCACCTTGATTTTGTTGATCTTGACCATCATTAGCGCAATCTTGCTTTTCTAACTTTTCAATGGCTTCATTGCATTTTGCAGCCCATTGTTGCTCATTTTCAGTCGCAACAATTTCACGGAAAAGCCATTGCTTGCTGACCAGTCATATTTCCCTGTGGAGAAGAAACAGTGTTCTCTTTGCCATCTGCCCCTCGAACGAAAATCAACTATAAAATATGAATAAAATAATAATTTTTACATAGAATCAATCAAAATACAGTATTAATATATGTACGGATAGCTGGCATCATTATTTGAAGCATCTAATAGGTGAAACTATCATCCATAACGCGCTCATTCATTGTGTAGTGCCTAGTTTATAACACACTAGCAATATTGTGTAAAAATTTTACAGGGACAAATGCTAGGACTAAGTTTCCAACCCTTGGACCAAGGGTTTTAAATTAATTTTAAAAAAGCTGACTTTGTGTTTGACACTGAATCATTTTCCTAAAACTTTAATCACTAATCTTTCACGACGTAGAATTTACGCATGTAAAATTCCAACTAACCGAAAGCTATTTGTGTTATTTTAAGGCTAAAATGTAGAAATGGATATTTGTTTATCCATAGGCGGCCCAGAACTGATCTCGCTGACCTCGCGCGATGACGTACTTGTCATAATATAAGACTGTTCAGACGACATGAGGTCGCGCAGGTCAGCGAGATTACCGAGATCAGTTCAGGGCCGCCTATGGTTTATCATGTTGTTTGTTCGGGGGGTCCCACGCATCATACGTAGATCACGGCCCAAATCGCCGTTTCACCGCCCTATCATTCATTTTTTAATCTATGGCCCTATCTTATATACGCCCTGATCAATTAAAGGCATGCCAGTCATGCACTTATAGTCTCAAACTCGAATCATTATCGCCCCGTCGTAAAATAGGTGGTTTCTGAGGGCCAAGGCGCCATTCCTTGTTTTAGAAAAGCTAGCACGAGCATATCAGACTGTCAGAATTCTATCATTTATACTTTGCAACCTCAAGATAGAAATCTGCTAAACATTGTAAAACTAAAAACTTATATTTCAGTCAGACTGCTCAATATGGAGTTTTATAAACTATAACAGTCCATTATTACTAAACCTTGGCTTTAGCCATATTAATTTTGATGGGTGTATACTTCATAATGAAATTTAAATTTCATGCGATTATGTTACGGCGTGCGTTTTGGTATATGACTTGTGAACGCTAAACGAAAGCTAAGTGAACCTCGGTAGGAGATTTTACTTGTAGTTAAACTATATCAGATATTGAATGTATCAGATTTTTTCAAGGCAATGACACCCCAGAAAGCGCAGTTAGGCGCTGGACTATAGTGAGTGGGGGAAGAGTATTTTAAAAATCGCTTTACTGTATTTTTATACAACTAGTGCCAATATGGTTATTAATTCGTTACAACAAACATATAAAACTAGGACTCAAAAGGTCGCTGGTGCACGCAGCATCTCATTTCAGCAGGTAGAGACCAATACCACAGTATATAATACCAAATATATTTACCCTTTATATACCCTTTAATATATAATATTATCTTTATATTAATCACAGTGAGAAATTAAAAAATCATACCTTTACAGCCACGCGATTCTTAAATTTTCCCACTTCAGCGCGCAGAACATGCAAATATTCTACACTATTTTTGGAATGCCGAATACCGTTGACAAACACGTACGCTTTGTCCTCATTTACTCGAATTGACCATTTGAAAGAAGGCATTTTTTAAAATACTGTTTGTTGACTGCTGAATAAACCTTGCTGAACAAAACTGCTGGTGTCTTTGGCAGAGGAGATAGAGTATATTTTGGCAAGGTTTTCTAGCGTCATACAAGGTGATAGCGTCATACAAGGTGATAGCGTCATACAAGGTGATAGCGTCTTCGCGGCTCAACGAATCAGCGTTCGAGAACACAAAGCCGTAGGTAACTGAGGAATTTTTCATTGTTAAAAGGTTCAAAACTCAACCAATCAAAAACGTTTATACTAATTAGCGACAAAAATCATAATAACGGAAAACATTTAAAAACTTAGAAGGGTGTAAACTGATCTTAGTGAAAACCGGCTGCTTCCTAACTTCGTAACTAAACTTGTCAGAAATATTTTGAAGAATGCGGTAAAAGACCAAAACGCATAATTGTATAGTTATGTCGTCGCCTTGCGGGTTTGGATTTTCATCCTTGCCAGAACCGGCGTCGCCGTCCACTATTGAAACTCTTCGAGAGAGAGAAATAGAAGGCAGTTCGCCTATCGGTATTGGATTCAGCAGTGACCATGAGAACACGAGGAGTCCGCAAAGTTGTAAGAGATCACAAATAAGCAATCTGTATACTTGAATATAGTACATGAACTATAGTCTATATCTACACAATTTTTATGATGATATTTAGTGACGAGCTCTCCTGGGGATTGTACGACTCCTGTTCACTCACAGTTATCTAGCCTGTACTCTTCGCCTGTTGGAATTGGATTTAGCAGCAGTGACAACGAAAACACACTAAGTCCGCTAAACGGTATGATATGTTACATTTCTACGTGTCTAAATAGATTGAGATTAGAAATATATTTCACCTGTATTTGGACAAGCGTTGTAATAATTTATTTTGTTCTCCATTTTCTGCTAGTCGCCAACACTCCTCGTATTTTTATGACTTCTCCACTGTCTCTGCGATCCTACTCAACACTCGAAGGAAACTCATCGCCTGCTAGCCCATCACCAGACAACAGCCCTTCTAAATGTAAGAAAATATTTGAAATTTTATTTTTAATTTTAACTATACCTAAAATTTCATAATAGATATAATAACTGTATTTTAGTTGAAATTATAAATAAAGTGCGGCGCAAAAAAGGGCAAGTTACGTCTCTTAGGTTTCAATAAGACTTGACGCAATGATAAGACTTGCCGTTTGCTCTTTTGTGGCGAGTTGAAATATGAAATTTGGAGTATGCGACATCGATTAGCAACTAACCAATTTTCGATAGACTCGTGACTTGTGTTTTTAGCATACCACAATAAATAAATTATTAATAAATAGCAGTAAATTATTCAATGAAATGCTACGAACACCAAACTTTGACAAGTGGTATATAATAATACAATTTGTCGACCGTCGGCCTTACATGCGCTTCCAAGTTTTAACTAGCGTCGCGCGCATATACAAACAAGAAAACAATAAAATAATTATGAGAAACATCCTTAAACTTTCAGCTATAGCCTGATTCGAAGTCTATAATAAATTTGCGGCATTTAATCAACAGTGTCAATGATTTTACATTTTAGCCCAATCGCCTGTTAAACGTAGGAGAATGCTCCATTGTGACACCCCGTCTACATGCGCACAAGAAAGCAGCGGACAACGAAAAACAAAGCGAAGTTTAAACTACGAGGGTGATTCTGAAGGTAAGAACCATTTTAGACTTTAGTTGTTACTTGTTCACTATTAAATTTAAAGCAATTCCGTGCTTTGGAAACAAAAATGCATGCATGCGCACCTACAGTTTTAAGGCATATTGCTGTATTCATATTTCAGTATCTGATGACAATGAATGTTGGTTTGAACGAAAAGTAGTTTTTGTTGATGTTCTGAAAAACTGTTCGGAATACGACCGGCTCGTAAATTTGCTAAACTATCACCAAGCACACGTTGAGACATTCCTGTCAAACAGAGTTACCCACATCATAACAGCAAAAAATATTCTGCCTGCAGCAAAGAAGTAATGCTTAAAAATGTGCAATACAGCCGTGGAAAGAAAATGGTGCAATTGGCAATCAAAACCACACCACAAAAAAATAGTTGGAAATCCACGCAACCAGTGCTTACCCTAAACGATTTGATAAAATTTTCCGTGAATTGTAACAAACACATCGGCAATCGGAAGAACAGTGGTAATAAAAAGGTAGAATTTCACTAGTAATAACAGTGACAAAAAAATTGACAACCGCAGGAATGCAACTGTATGGGAATTGCGGGGTAAATATATTAAGGTTGAAGATGCAACTGGAAAGTATAGACCGCTTGTGGTTGAAATGAAAGACTGGCCGGAACTGGACTTTAACTGTCACAACACTCCCTTTGCTTGTCCAAAAGTTTTAAAAGCAATTTCAACTCATCCGAGTGTAAAAGGAAAACTGTGCGAGCTGTGTAACATTAATTATAATACTAGTGACAAACATCATCTTAATGGATCAATACATCAAAAGAACGCGCATGATAATAAGTTGTTTCAATTGCTCGATAAAGCGATACAAAAAGGATCATTCTTGTTCAAAAATAAATAAGTTTAAACTTACGACTTAAATATTCTCAAATTTAACTGTCAATGTCTTAAACTTCTTATAAAGGAACAAACAAGAAAAACAAACAAATAGTCTTGGGAATCATCGAGTCTGACTGCTGTGATCTTGACTGCTTAAAAATTGTGCCATTTAAAGATATCGACAGTGTTAGACGTGAATTTATCTCACTTGAAAGTATAGTCGATGAAAGAAATTATATTCTCAATTATCTAAAAGATAACACGTCAACCACTCACGACGCAGAAAAAGGGAAAAACTGTGTTCAGAATAAAAGGAACACAAGTCTGTAAGCAAGCTTGGATAAAAGTCCATGACATAAAGCTACAAAGATTCCAGAAGATATATCTTGATTTTAAAAATGGTTCAGAAGTGTACGTCCATGGAAACAGTGGATTCAAAAGGCCCACAACAAAGACGGCAGAATGTATAGCATGGCTGAGATTTCTGGTTAACTCAATTGGACCAACAACCAGATAGTGGAAAAGTTCATTTACCATCCTGCTTTACAAAATTGGCTTTGTACCAGAAAATGTTAAGTGACCTGGATTCTGAAGATACCATCAGTAGGTCACAATTTATAGCATCATGGAGAAAGAATTTAAACATGTCTCAATACCAAAGGTAACAATTACATTATGGTCATAATATACAGATTTTAAATGGGCACTGTAATTTTCACCACTAAAACCATGAAACCGCGCCTGATAGCGGGCTATGTGTGAGTATACTGGACATTGCAAAGTTTTACGTAATCTTACCAACCATAAAACATGTTCAACATGTGAGCTAACCTTAAAGCTACTGTATCCCCACACCACTAGCAAAATATGTATTTTTTCAATAAAATTTTCATTTGGCAAATAAATTTTCATTTGGCAAATAAATTTTCATTTGGCAAAATTTTCAAATTGGTATTAGACATGTCAGTTGGTGGTAATAAATATACCAAATATTGTTTTATTGCAGGAAAACCGGTTTACCAAATGTGACCACTGCACAAATTATAAAAAGCAACTAGAGGCAACAATGAATAAAGCTAAAAGAAAGGCCATTCAAGAACTTCTGGATGAACACATTGAACGTGTTATGTAAGTAAACAGAATAATGAGAGTAAAATTTCTACAAATATTTTTGTTTGTCTACTGATTATTTTGCCTGCGTTTTGGGTTTTTGTCCAGCACCTGCGTGATTATAGTGTGGTATTAGCTAACAGGGCATTCTTAACCTCCTGTTGATAGCCAGTATATATCCTGTATAAACAATTCAATAATAATTCTTACCAGGAATGAACGAAGAAAATATCATCTTCATCGGTACAAAGCACGGCGGAGTCCTTCAAAGTATCTAACAATCATATTGGATGGTATGGATCAATCCAAAACTGATGTACCAAATCTTCGAAGAGTCTGCAAATCAACTGCAAACCTGCAAAAGTTGAGAACACATCTTGTTGGAACTATAATGCATAGTGGGTTGTGTCCCATGGGAAAATTATTCCATGGTATGTTTGACCTTTTTCAATGGAAACATGACAGCAATCTAACAATGAACATTCTCATCAAACTTCTTGCACTGTTCAATGATCGCTATGGTTTACCACACATACTTAATCTCCAACTGGACAACTGCTGGCGTGAAAACAAAAACAAATATGTTTTAACTTTACTATCTCTTTTGGTGGAATGGTCGGTGTTTGACAAGGTATAGTTAAAATACGAATATGAGATACCTTTAAAACAAAGCCAGACAATTTAGTCACAGCCACAAAGGCTTTACTGTAGGTGGGCCCATCTATATGTTTTTTGAAGTTTTGCCTGGTGCTGTAATGAGTGATTGATAGTCTAGTGGGTTCAAAATAACAATATCTTTATTATTGCAGCTAAAAATGTATGTGAAGCTTAGAAAATAGCTTGAGCTAAGGATCAAGTAAGATCATGTGTGCTTTTTTGTACTTGTACTAATAATGTACAAGTTTTTCAAAGGAGTAATTTTTCACAACAGGAATCTCAATTATGTTTCATACAGTATATATATACAAGTTAAAGTAATATTGCATGTAACCTTTAATTTTTCAGATAAAGGGCAACTTTCTACCAGTTGGCCATACGCATGAAGATATTGATGCATTATTTGGCTGTCTTTCAAAGCATCTTAAATTTCTTGATGTATATACCGTAAATGGTAAGTCTTAACAGACAAGTACTTACATAAAATCATCTGACATAGTAAATCCTTGGGTGTATATATATTGTTCACATGTTAAAATGGAAAGGCATATACACTGTATATGTTCAACATGGATTTGACTGCATGTGTGACCATGCACCCTCTGTCTGATACTGTACACAAACAATTACCATACAATTAGATTTTGTTCTATTCTGCTGACATACAGTGTGACAAAATAATAGAGATAAGCTGATTACCAAAATTGATTGATTACCAAAATTGCCCTTTACAATGTAAAAAATTATTTTATATTTGAGTAATTTAAGATCATTGTTTTTAAGCATGGTTAAATTAAAAAACTATTGAATTCGGGCTTATGCATGTGTTGCTTTTTGTTTGTGAATCATCAGCTTACAGTGCATACATTGATTTTTTGCACCAATAAATAAAGCAATCAGCCAACAGATAAATATTAACAAGCCATTAATTGTCTTTTTCTGAATATTTTCTTTTTCTTTTTTTTAGATATAAGAAAAGCATTTGAAGAATGCTGTAACAAGCCATACCCAGAATCTGACTGTTTATCATGCATTTATGATTCAAGAAGTGGTTGGATGGTCACAGTGAGGACTTACACAATCATGTCAAGCCACACTGCTTTAAATTTGTGAGAAATGAAAAAAACAAAGCCGTAATGTATTACAGAAAGTGGAGTGATGATGAATGGATGGGTCCTATTTCTTTATTAAAGGTACCAGTATTCTAAAATTTCTCCCAAAGTACCACAACTATCACAAAGTACTCAAAATTGCTTCAAGGCACTATAAGTTATTGTTTTATTTCATTTTATAAATAGTCAACTCCTATGGACATGCCAGTCCAAATACCAGCAGATTTTGCAAAGGCAGACTTACCTAAGCTTGCAGTTGACATGCAAAAATGGTTTTCTGTAATGACCTCAACAGCACAAGGATGGTGGGAATCATTTTTGCAGACAACAGGCAACAATGATGCTACAATTGATAATACGTTTCCAATATTTTCACTGAAAAATCATGTTAGAAGACCAAATGCTGAACCTGTTGAGACAGCTGAAATACCAGCACAGCTATCTGCTTTGAGAGAGAAGGAGCTAGAACAACTAGAAGAGGTAAACAAAAATATTTTAATGGGATTGGATTGATACATTTGTGAAGCATTAACTAATAAGCTTTTATAACAACATAAAAAGTTTTAGCACTGAAATGGCAACTCCTATAGTATGAGCATGCTGATCAATGGAACCCTAATCTTATGCAGTTGGCATAGCAAATATACAAATTATTCTATATTTTACATTTATTTTCCTAGATATATACTGGCTCATATCAAGCTCCAGCTTCCCGGGGCATAAATATGGATGATAATTACTTGGCTGCTTTGAAACCTGATGTGTTTGTGGCAGTAAATATATCCAACTACAAAAAAAGGCCAGTCATTGGGAAAGTAACGGAGGTTGGAAATGATGAATTTTGTTTACAATACTGGAAGGGAAATTATAGCACTGCTTGGGAACCCCACATTGTGAATAGTAAAGATGGGCTAACACCATAGGTGGATACCATTCCCAAAGCGGCTATTATAATATGTGCGTTCGAACTTGATGACAAAAATCATTTGCTGGAAAACACCAGAAAATTTATTAAAAAATGGTACAGAGATCACAAAAAAAAGCCTAACCATTAGAGGGAAAAGGAACTATACTGTGCCCCAATATTTTTTATATGAGAACCTTATGAAGTACCAAAATGTATTTGTGAGAAACATTTGTATATTTAACCATTCTTAATACCAAATTTACACTAAAACAATTAGTCGCCACAGCTCATATCTACTTTGCCTTCTGCTCAGTGGATATGGGCTTGTAAACACCTTGCCTTCAGGCTTCAACAACTAATAGACCTATATGGATTTAATACGATGTCAATTATTTCTGTATGAACACAAAGAGCAGCATTCCCTGAGAGAATTGCAATATGTGTTATTATAATTCTTGCAGGAAATTCTGGTATTTGTGAAGCATTTGATGTCCTAATGCATAAGGAGTATTGTTATTGTGTATTAATGAGCATTAGAAATTGCCATGATTCGATTTATAACCTAAACAAAATATAGTGTTGCAACACTTGCGTATACAGTATTTACTCGGTTTATTTATTGTCATCAACACGCTTTTTTGGGCTGCCCTATGATCTTATAAATCAATAAATGTTATTTTATATGCAGAAGACTCGTGCTCACTTACCGGTATTTGATGCATATGGCTGTACTGATTCACCTATCAGATCTTGATAATTTCAGTATAGGACTACCTTCTAAGCTTCGAGTTGGCGAAACCAAAGAAACATTCAGTAATATTTAAAAAAAACCCTTTATTTGTAAAACTTTGTTTGCCTTCTTCGCCATACATGTTTTTGAAATACACAAAACACAATTCAAACACGTATTAATTTTGTGGCCTGGATCTCTGAATATATTAGATCTGATCTAAATATATTAGATCTGATGAACTGATGTGGATATATTTAGTTGCAATTTTTACTATAAATTTGTTTCAATCCGACCCTGTCTGTAGTGTGTTTATCATGTAATATCAGTGTGTTGTAGTTTAGGTAAGCAGGGATTTTATTCTTTATGTGCGTGGACTGTGGAGCAAAAGAGCAAGTGGTGTACTGAATGCATGTGATGTAAGTTTTAATACATTGTGCACTACTGAATTTTTCAAATATTATACAATAAATATATAACAATTTACTATAGCACTGCTTTGTGGAAACACACTTCTGCAAATTGTTGAGGTTTTTAGGTAGTCTTTTTTTTAATAATTATTCCAATATAAAATAGTTGTTTAAGATTTGTTGACTCTCCTATTACTAATCAATTTCCTATTACTATATGATTCCATTTGGAACAAGATGTAAATGCCTGAAATTTAGGGTTCCTTTTTGTATTAATCATGTTGCCTTTTTGTTATAATTATTTACTTTGTTGCAAACAAATAGGTGTCCAAAATTTGGAGTCCACTTTGGCAACCATTCTGCCCTTTTCATACAATTGCCTTATTGCAAACAAAATGGGTGTCCGAAATTTGGAGTCCATTTTGATAATCATTCTGCCATTTTGTTATAAATGTCCCATTGCATTAGCAAATTGGGTGTTTGAAATTCGGAGTCCATTTTTGTCATCATTTTGCCATTTTTTCATAATTATTTACTTCATTGCAAACAAAATGGGTGTCCGAAATTCGGAGTCCATTTTGATAATCATTCTGCCATTTTGTTATAAATGTCCCATTGCAATAGCAAATTGGGTGTCTGAAATTCGGAGTCCATTTTTGTCATCATTTTTCCATTTTTTCATAATAATTTACTTTATTGCAAACAAAATGGGTGTCCGAAATTCGGAGTCCATTTTGATAATCATTCTGCCATTTTGTTATAAATGTCACATTGCATTAGCAAATTGGGTGTTTGAAATTCGGAGTCCCTTTTTGTAATCATTTTGCCATGATTATTTACCTTATTAAGAACAAAATGGGTGTCCGAAATTTGGAGTCCCATTTTGTAATCATTTTGCCAATTTTTTTATAATTGCGCCTGTGCAAGTATGTGTATGCAAGTAAATGGGTGTTTGAAATTCAGAGTTGTGTTTTGTAATAATTTAACCATTTTATTTTTCCTGTTCTTTTTAAACATAGTTTTCCATTTTGAAGAAAATATAAGTTTAGAAAAGGGAAAATTAATCTTTTCTCTAAATTTTCATATTTTCATTGATTTCAAGTTGGAAATATATACAGTTTGCAAAAATCTACTAAACTACTACTAAATTAAACAGTAAATTTTCCATTCTGCAAAATTGCAAGAAAATATTTTTTCAATTTACCTCAAAAAACCGCTTTTTCTTCTGAAATTAAAGGAAAATTATACCTATTTTATATTATGGGTTAAACTGTGCAGAAAAATTAGTCAAATTCTGCAAAATCAAGGATTTTTTTTATGGATTTGGTAGTTTGGAATTGTTGAAAATAGTTTGGAATGCGTTAACTCTGAACCTCGGTCAAAGAGAAAACGTCAGAAAATCAAGCAATCCACTTATAACTAAAACTCCAGTAGAACGATCCTAGAAGAAAAGTTTTCATGGTTAATCTATTTCTTGTGTTTAGTTAGAAAGGTAGTCCAAATTAGAAAGGCAGTTGCTACGAATCACAAGCTGGGTTTTGCAAGGGAATTTCTCTTCCAAAACATGGCTTTATACATACAAGAGGGATGGAAAAATAAAGTGCAAGGGTTCAGCATTGATTATAGGATGTTTTCATATAACATAATTATGCAGCCTAGCAATCGTTTAGTTTAAACTGTAGGCTGCTTTTCACTTACCCGTTTTTTATACGCACGTACACATACAGAGAATATTAAATGCTTTTAAATTTTTTTTATTTAAGATGCATCTAGTTCAACTAATGCATACTAAATATGCAGAAAACTAAGTTCCTTCGATTTATTCACTTAGTTTTTTCGAAGGTAACATGTATAATGATTTAAATTTTTACGTGCGTGTACGTGCGTATGAAAAACACGTAAGAGGAAAACAGCCTTATTCCAGATTTTGACAGAACATTAAAACTCAGTGAAAATACAATAATATTGTCTACACAGGATTTTGTCTGCAGAAAAGTACAAAATAAGGAATTGTCAACTTACGTCTTGGGTGACTGCATGAAGTAGACCGCTGTAGGAAATTTTGCAGTTAAATCTGAACACAGCTTCGGTGAAATTTCCTGCAAGGAACCAGTCATAAGACAATATAAAGACAATTGAAAGCTCTCTGAAGATTAAGAATAATTATACTGCTCGGCCTGGCCAAACTAATCTCTCTGAGTAATAGCTGTTCTTTTACTAGGAGCCAATTAAGTTCGCATAAACCTGGTGCAATATGGTCGAACTTACCAATTTTTGTAATTATCCTGCACGCAAAATTTTAGACCAACTGTAGTTTCTTGATGTTGGTGGACGATGTGTTGTAACTAGTCCCGGGATGATAAGAATTAAGGCTTCTTTATCAAGCATTTTTTGACTCGATTTATTTGGCACAGAGAATTCGTACATGCAGAGTCTAAGTTGGTGATATGCTGGTCATACGACAAATAAGAGTCTAGTGTCATTCCTAGATCTTTGGCAATAGGAACAGGGGTGATGGCTTCGTTCGGGAACTTTATAGTCATGTCTTCCGGAAGTTGTTGTAGATTTTGCCGAGTACCAATCAGCATATATTTAGTCTTTTCCGGATTAATAAGCAATTCGTTTTCAGAGCAGTGTTTAGCTACCGAAAAAAGGTCTTCCTCTATAGTTGTTGCTTTAAACGATCCGCATCAGCCACTAACGATCCGCATCAGCCATACGATCCGCTCCACATACATCTATTAATGGAATCAGTAGAATAGAATTCTGTCTCTCGATATTCTCCGTGTCCGACAGGGTGGATTCGGCTTCCGTTTGGGTTCTATACGAAAAATCTTTATTCAATCCGTTAAGGTTAGTACTATTCAGCTGTTCAGATTGATAGCACCATGTTCTATTATTAGCTCGTTGATCCTGATGGACATGACGTCTTGAATTTTTCCTTCGGACTCGAAGGGGTTCTGCTCGATTTGTAATGCGAACAGGCAGTAGCGTAGTTAGCCTGTCGATTTGTCACACTATGCTAATATTTTAGTGTTCATTGACTGTTAAAACAATAAATTTTTAAAGACATGAATAATTATAATAACTCGAAATTTACATATAAATAGCGGGACAAAATCGTCAGGCTGGCTACGCCACTGCGAACAGGGATAGTATTAATATGGTCGTTGCCGGTGACCTTTTGTTGCGGTGTTTGAGATTCGTTGTTTGGACTCTTTTGATTTATAGATGTTTTGGTTGTTTCAATTATATGTAAATCGTCATTGTACAGGGTGTATCAAAAAAACGCAACACTTAATATTCATGATATCCTCTTTGTTCTACAACACAAAAGACGTTTGGCCCCTGGAATGCGAGAAAGCTTGTAATCATATTCTAGCGGCACAATCGTCGGTAAACAAAGTCGGGTGCGTAAACCAACGAGCTGAATTGAAAGCATCTAACGAGTAAAATGTTATTTACAATTTATTTTACAAGGTCGACAGTTAGCATTCAAGTTATCATGCACGACAATAAAAACTCGTTGTTCGGTTGTTAGCTGCACCATTATTAGTTTAACTGATTTGACTATTAGCAGTTTAACTGTACAATAAGAAGCAATTTTAAAATCCCAGGGGCATAAAATCTATTGAGCTTATGAACAATATGAATTTTAGAATATTAAGTGTTGCGATTTTTTTGAGAAACCCTGTAATGCTGATCGTCAACATCGCTTGTTTGATTGCAATTTTCCCCCTCATTAGGGATTAACTCAACGATAACGCTATTATTAGTGACCTTTTGTTGCAGTGTCGGAGCTTCGTTGTTAGGGCTCTTTTAATTTATAGATGATTTAGTTATATTAATTATATGCAAATCAGCATTATGATGTTGGTCATTTGAGTCTGAATGTAGATTGTTTAATTTTTGATTGCTATTTGGGAAGTCATTGTTTCCCACAATAGTCCTACGTGCGCTGCAATAATCTTCCTTGTTATCAGGGGTTTCAAGTATGACCTCGCTTATTTGTGTGGATTCTCCTGCTTCTCCAATACTTTTAATTTTTGTTGAAGGTCTTCAATTGTGACATCTCGATCATATATTGCTTTATTTTTTTTCATCTAAAATAATAGCAAATTCATTCAGCATAGATTCCAATCTATGGTTACAAGATAGATTATGGTCCCCATTGATTGCCATAATCTTACTCACGGAATCTACTAGAAATACATGCCACTTCAAAGATTACTAGAAATACATGCATGCAGCAACACCTCGCCATTTTAAACGAAGCAAAATATTTCGTGTGCTACCTAGAATTTTCTACGCTAATATTATGAAATATTGCTTATTTTTTGCAGAGGGAGACTGCCTTAAAAAAATGTACTTGCTAAGTGGCGAATCGTGACGAATCACACTTACGAAAAAATAGTATAGAGTTATTCTTTTGATATGTATTCTGTGGTTTAGAACTTGTATGGTTATTATAATTATTTGTGCTGTTTTGATGTTTTGAAGCTTTAGCTACACAAAAGTTTAACACTCACTTAAACTGCAACATAATGCAACAGGCAAACAGGTGATTTCGGTTCACCATTACGACTGTCTTTGTTTCCGAAAAATTTGCACGAGTTATTTCATAACATTAGCGTAGAAAGTTAGGTCTAGGTAGCGCACAAAATATTTTGCTTCGTTTAAAATGGCGAGGGGTTGCTGCATGCATGTATTTCTAGTTAAAAATACAAAACAATCGCACCGTAACAATTAGCTTCACTTGGCCCGCATATAACCAACTTATGTAAAATTTGTGCTTTAAAGCACTTCAAATCTACATGTGATATGTTTCAAGCTACGAGTAAAATGGTAATGTCCGTAAAGATACAGTGTGTCAGATTGAAGAAAATTAATCATGAACATTACAGTGAACTCATCAGTTTAAATTGTTATTTCATTTGAGATCCTACCAAAATGTATTAAGTCTCGTCAAAGATCTTTCCAAAAAAGAATAAATTAAAAAAAAAAACTGTGGGCTTTCACCACAAGAACTGGTGGTGTAGTGGTGAAGACGGTGATCTGCCAAGTATACAGTCAATGGTTCAAGCCCTAGACAAACCGAAAAAGAACAACAAGGTAATTAGGTGAGAATTTGTGAGTGTGAGAGGAGTAGAGCGAGAGGGCGAATAGGCCCTCGCCTTAGGCGAGGAGTAGACAGAGGGGGGTTGTCTTTCCCCCGTCTTTCCTCACTTTCAATGTAAGCTTTCTTCAATAAATTAATTGTGTAAGGGGATAATATGGGATGTCTGAGA